CGCCTGTGAATCTCAATCTACTGACTGCGTATGTTATTCTTTCTCATAGTGTTGTGTGTGCAATTGTCAACTGGGCAGCGGTGCAAAAGGGACAGACGTTCGAATCAGAGCCTCCAAACTACACTGCCAGAATTGTTATAGTAACGATGCAGGTGAGGTTCTTGACATAGTTATTGTATGATCACCCCATCTACTAATAACCCTACTACCCCCGCAAACAATATGGTTGACTCTTCATGTCACTCCCATCTCAAAGACAAAAATCATTTTCGTCATGCACCTATCCGCCTCCAGAGGTGGTTTGGTTTGTTCCATTCTCCATTATAGTGGACTGTACCATTTCAGGAATTGGGGGTGTTACAACATCAAGTCATGTACTAATATTGATGAATATTGTGTTTATAATGGTGTGTTTTCATGATGAGTCCCGACGTAATTGATATTAATAACAGATTGTGGTTGATGCTCGTTCATGGTGCTTGTGATATTTTGTAAGTGGGGGGGGGGGGTCCCGTGACAAATATTTGGAGTTTCAAAATAGAAAATATCGCTTTTGGCCCATTCTGTACAACCACTGTGCTATGTGAAAAATTAGACATGATCAAAATACCACAACACCATGGGATGAATAATCACAACATGACCTGCCCAAACGTAGTGTGCACGATCATTAACGACCAGCTAAAGTAGCATAATCACGCATACACATGAACTAACCGCCATTTACTGATACGACTGATCTAATTAACTCAAATATGCCCCTCACATCACAACAGTGTTAGGCATGCAGGAAAAAAATTTCCGCAAACCTGATCCAAAACATTGTTAAACTCATCGTCACCAGACTCATCGATCCATCAAAAGCATGTCCATTTTTTCAGTCTGCTTCATGTCCTTCGCATGCATTATAGTCCCATTAAATTGCATGTTACCTATTTGACCTTTAACCTTATTGGTATTATTTAAAAAAAAAAAAAAATAAAGTAGGAATTCTAACACTGAGCTTTTTGTCCATCCCTGGCATTTGACTTATATGGATATATTTTAGTTTTCTTTATTTAAATTGCTGCATTGTCTGGTTTTCACCTAAATTTTTGCGCAGGTATCCATTTCTAAGAATCTGGGGAAAAAATGAGTTTTAACTCTGGTCGTTCTGTGAGTAAAATTTTCTTTCACATCATTCATAAAGGTATAAAAAGCTAACCTCTACAGCACCACTAATGCTTGCTATATTCGTACATGCTAAATAGCCGTAATTCTCTCTTTATTTCATAGTCAAGCAAAATGTTTATGTTTAGTTGTAATTAAGTTGTTAGCTATGTTGTAATTTTTTTTTTTAATTTATTTTATTAACTATCCCATTGTTGCCTTGCTTTGCAAAACTGTTTTTGTTTATCATGAGGGTCATCACTAGCGGGAAGACATAGATGAAACGGTTGGTATGGTAACTCATGCTTGTTACTTTTCATGGGGGTGTGATGTGGGTGGTTAATATTTTGGAGTATTATTGTTTTGATTTCTGTAAACTGTATTTTTTGACGCTAAAAATGCTCCATTTCATAATTTAGAGCATTAGTAAGAACAAAATATTACAAAAGTTTCTGCAACTCCCTAGGACTGCAGTGAAATCCACTGTGACTCCCTAGGACCACAGTGAAAGTCGGTGTGATTCCCTAAGACCACAGTGAAATCCACTGTGACTCCCTAGGACCACAGTGAAAGTCAGTGTGATTCCCTAAGACTACAGTGAAATCCACTGTGACTCCCTAGGACCACAGTGAAATCCATTGTGACTCCCTAGGACCACAGTGAAAGTCAGTGTGATTCCCTAAGACCACAGTGAAATTCACTGTGACTCCCTAGGACCACAGTGAAAGTCAGTGTGATTCCCTAAGATCACAGTGAAATCCACTCTGACTCTTTAGGACCACAGCAAAAGTCAATGTGACTTCCTTTCACATTGAAATCATTACTGCTGCAATATTATTAAAACTGAGAATGAAATACACAATGGTGAAGTGTAACATGACCTTTAGATTTCGGCAATGGTCTTACTCCAGGAATCGTTGTCTTGTCTTTATGATACTCCTAGATGTGTACAGAAGATGTGAAGCAGAGTGCTTTGAACTAGAGTGACTGTTATAGCCTGCAAACACTTTTACTCGACCGTATAAAAACATGTACAGTCACACAACGTAGAGATTCAGGGTCTTATGTTATCTTGAATTTGGCGTACCCGATGCTTCGTATGTTGGCTACTCAACTAGCTTATACAGTACATGTATAGAAAAGACAACTATTTCATAGGCAAGATGACTGTTGACCGCCTACACTAATCCCAACAGAATGATAAGTTTATTGTGTTTTTTGTTACACTGTTCACAATTGGCTGTAAAATCACGAAAGTCTAACAGAGAGCTTGCCATCAGCCAATCAGAGTAATTGTTCTTTGTGAATTTAAATGTGTGGCATGTTGAGTGTAAATTACCTCAATTCATACCAGTGACAAAGTAACTACCATATTTGCTTTAATAGAAGTGCATCTCCAATAGAAACACACATAAAACAAACAATTACCAAATTGTATTAAAATAAACATTATTTTGAAAATAGATAGACCACTGTCATTTACGTAAGTACATGTTCTACTAATACGGCAAATATGGTATCATTGACCCTATTATTAACTACAGTTTGTATTACAATGTTGCAACTTCAAAATTTATTTTTAAACTTCATCTCCTTAGGGAAAATATTTTTTTAAATTTTGAAGTCATATAACATGCATGTATTTATCAAATATTAATTCAGCGGTATGTAACTCACTGCGTACCCATCAAAGCTGTATTTCTCTCTGAAATGACTTCTATAAAAAAAACAAATTCTTGCAAGGATTTTTTTCCCGTTAGTTCCGTAAATCCAAATTTGCGGTGAACATTAACAGAATTTTACCTTCTATCGTGGGACAGTTCTTTTGCATATCAGGCGACTGATATATTCTACTAATTTGGTTTATAACAAAAAAATGTGATGCCTCCCTTATCATTTTGGTTATTGAGAGTTACTTGTAATTCTAAAGACACGATTGAGTTTCCACATAACAGTGCGTCTGTGTTAACACCTGCATGTACTTAATACAGTTTTGCATTGCAACGCACTGCTTTAAATGTACCGTAGTACAAGTAGTAACAGTCATACGTATTAGATACATCAAGTAGATTACGTAAATTCCCTATTTGTCTTGCAGGTTTCGAATTTACGGAAGTTTGAACATGTTAAATATATACTGATTGAAACATATATAGATATAAATATATATTGGTCGCAGGAGGGAAGAAAACATTGCGCCGTGCTGCTAGGGGTTGAAAACCGATTTATACCCAAGGTGCTACTGATGAGCAAGAGATAACAAAAAGAACGTCTATACAATGTATTGGACTTTTATTGATCAAATTTATTGACTAGCTCACCTTTGGACACTTTGGAGAAGATTGTTTCAAGAGGTTGACACAGGAATGGAAGTGGGACAATCGAGAAGCAATAATCTGATTTGTTGGACGTTATTTCTCCGATCAATAAGAGCAATATGACAAGGGAAATGCGACAAGTTTTATGATTTAATTTGAGGAAGAGCAGTTTCTGACAAAATTGTTCTTTCGCATTTAAAGAAACATAAACATTTATTCAGTTTGTACAACTTTGTTTTTTGTATGTATTGTTGTCATGATTCTAGTTTACCATAATCTGAACAAGCTGTCTGAAATATTTGCCACTGTGTGATTAGTCTACAATGAGAGGAACCAATCATATCACAGAGAACATATATCCATCCTGAAGTTTAAAACATGGCTTGCTATTGGTCCAGGATAAACTTAATTATTTAATAGCCTGATGTGATCTTGAAGCACCACACATCTAATAAATACTCCACACTTTTTGGTGCTCCTGTATTAGAAACAAGTTTTCTGTGTCAATTTTGGGGAAATCTAACCAAGAAACCAAATCCACATGTATCTTAATACTGCCTTCCTCATTTAAAAATGTAGGACAATTTGATTCTGGGATAATTTTATTTGTAAATATTTTTTGTAACAATCATTGCTAGGCTGTTTTTTTTATTTTCTGTTGTAGTTTTGATAAAATGTAAAATAGTAAATTGCCTTCAAAATATCGGATACTGAGAAATTTTGATTGTTGTACTTCTATAATGGCGCCCTCACTGTCCATGTTTTTGTGACCTCTGCCTTCTAGCCCATAATATTTCTTTGACATTTCACCTTTCTATTGTATTATAACAGTCAAATATATTATTCATTATACTTAATTTGAATATTTAATTTTTTTATTTTTAATATATTAAAACCCAGTTAATCCAGACAATTGGGATAACATTTTTTTAAATCACTGTAATACCTTGCAACATTCCTTTTTTTTTTTTTGTCAGGATTTTATAATTTGATGACAACTTTCATAATTTACAAGAAAAAAATGAACTCATGACAGTTTGGTGGAGTCACACAATTTTTGCCATGTAGTGTTCAGATTTGTTTTTCCCTTATACATCTTGCAGTGCTATTTCATTGTCAAATCAAAATCTTGGCAATAGCAATTTAATCTCCACTTCAACTTGCATGATTGACTACAGATATTTGAGTGTTCATTCTTTCCTTTTTAAAGAAAACAGTTTTCACAAAGACTTGGTTGTAGCGCCCTCTATGGCGATTCATATAAAACTATGAAGTGTATTGTATTCAAAACAAGTCAATTTTATTTTTTCGCCGTTTCAGTGAAGATGGCATTTCTTATTCTTTCTTTGGAGTTATGATGAAAAAAAAAATTACTGTATCTACAATTCTTGTCCACAAGTGGTTTCATAAGTGTACATAGCCAATGCTTTTATACAATAAATCTGCTTATGAATTATACAACTTTACTATAATAAACATTGTTCAGTTCTTTACTAATCCACTCTCTGTAAACTATGATCCAGAAAATTGGTTCTGGCCTAAAACTGCAGTTTCAAATCCTGGAAGACATTATTTTAATTGTTCAGACTACAATTGTTTCTGTCTTTATGACATTTTACATGTATACCCACAACACCATGACTTGTAATTGAAAACCAACTGCAAAGCTAGCACGAACTCTAGAACGGAAAGATTCATAATTTTGATGACCCAGTAAGGGTTATGGACTTTGTGACCCAAAAAATGCGCTTTGATGCTTTCCGCAGTAAAGTTGATCATGGATTCCAGATCAATAACCAGTTTCCACTAGTACCATGCAGCAGAGTGGTACAATAATTAAAGCGCGGTTGTCATCGTGCAGCGCGTGTTCGAATTTCATGTCAATAAATAATGTATTTTACATGATTGTATACGTCGCTATGAGTCCCATATCGAACAGTACGCGACACGACGACTATCCGCCCTTCAAACAATTACAATTGTAGTTTTTAAGAGGCGTGATAAGTTGAATAGTTGATGAAACAATTGTATTTTCTGATCAATCTGAAAGTAGACTACCTCACCTCAAATATCAATTAGAAAATCAAAAATTCATATTGTCACCAAAAATAATCAAAAGATCAAAAATGCATATATACACCAAATTTCTGAAAATCTGAAGAAGAAAAAATTGCCAATCGTAAACTGCAGATAGTCATAAAATGACATCCGATTGAGGTCACCCAAATACACTTGCAGCAAACTTCGAATAGTATATTTATTGGAATTGGACAATTGGAGTCGCACCATAATCTCGGCTTCAGCTTACAGCTGAGTTTATAAGCTAGGATAAACAAACTGATAATAAACTAATGATATTTCAGTTAAATTTAATAATTTGAAAACATCAATAATAATTAAATCAATTTGGTGGGAAATATATATACAGCTCTGGTACACTTGGTAATTACAAATTATATTTCTTGGTTTATTAAAATTCATCTTGTAACAAATTTTGAAATCAATATTCATTCATTCCTAACAATACACAATACCTATGGTTGGAAGGAATGAATGAACACAAGCAGAATTCAAGGCATTTTCATTTTTGAATTGCAAGCCTATTTTTGTTTTTAAAAATGGCCAAAATTATGTTCAACACGTTTTGGTTTTCATGATTTCAAACTTGACAGGTGATTGGTCGAGCCACCGTTTACAATGATGGAAGCTAGTTGAAAATTCACATCTCAAAACAATAGACATTATCGTTACGGCAACCAACAATGATGAGGTTGCTGTAAGCGACAGGGGACGAGAAGATTTCTCCCTGAAGTGAATGCTGGGAAATTAATTTTCCCGTAAATAGATGCAAAACAAGTACGGAGCCTGTCGTACAGCAGACGACTGTGAAGTAATCTGAATCCACATCGTCTTGAGGAATATTACAATTTTTCATTAAATCTTCCTGAGAGTTGCCTATTTCAGCGTTTCTATGTAAATCATACAAATATTTCAGAGTTTGGTTCTTAAATATAAACGGTGTTGAATAAACTTCCGACGGAGTCTGGTACTTCCAGCGAATGCAACCAGATTTGACCGAGACACAGTAGACAAACTTGTCATGTGATCCAAATACTGCATAGTCATTGGCTGGTGATGACTCGCATGACTGATCGAGAGGTAGTAGAGATGAGGTAGAAAACACCGGTCCTGCAGTTGTACAGGTCCACACCTGAAGGAGAATGGTACAATAATTAGTTATAATCAATAAACTTAATTATTCTGTTGGGATGGGGCCAAATTAGAAACTTAATTTACATCACATTGTGAACATTTTATTTTCTCCTGCAACAATGTACCTACCTTGTTGCCATGGTGATCTACATGGTAAACATTCCCATCAACGCAACCAAACATGACTCCGTTGTCTGTGATCGTGAGGGAAGAGAAGATAGGCTTTGGTAAGAAGATTTGCCACATTTGCTGTCCTGAGTCCTGGAAATACAGAATAAAGTAAACTCAAACAAAATTTTTTGGCTGAGAATGTTGGACCAAAAAATGTTTAATTATTTTATTTTAATTATTTGCTCAATAATCTTGAAAATTACAGATTATCCTGATACGATGTAGAACACAACAAAATTGATAAAGAGCATTTTTTGTGAGTATGCCCTCACAGGCAGTATTTAGAAACTTACAGGATCTACAGCAAATAGTCTGCCAGCAAGGGTTGCAGCATAGAGGACTCTGGGATTGTCACCGATTACTGGAGATGAGAAAATAGAGCCACCACCACCAAACAAACTCCAAACACATCTTTTACTCTGTAATAAAAAACAAATTTATTTAATGAATTAAAATTTATTAAAAAATTTAATTACATGCAACAAACAATGACAGCCACAAATTTTAAATTCAATATACAAAACATTCAAATCAAGCTAGACAATTATGAGAGTTGCGATGACCTTTGACCTTTACAAAACGTACCGGTATATCAATGGCATGTAAATAATAGTCATGTGAACCAACAATAATCCAAGATGTCTGTGCATCCAATACTGGAGAACATTTCACTGGGCCGTCAGTCTGGTATCGCCAGACGATGTCACCCGACTGGGAGTGGAGAACGTACACCAGACCATCATAGCAACCTGCAACAGGGGGAAAAAAAAGTTTATGGATGATTATGTGCATTTTCTTGTTTTATACATTTTTTCCTTTAAATTGCTGGAATAACTTTCCATTGTTAATGTCACAGTATTTTAGCCAATCAGTATTAAGTATGATACTTAACAGTGTTCATTAAACAATAATGTGCGACATGTATGTACAAGGCGTGAGCAGAGTACATATATGGAGCACAAAGTGTGCTTGAGTCCATTATGGGTTGTCGGGGAGTTAATTCTTGTTATTATTTTGTAGCGTTGTCAATACCAGTGGATTTGCTGCCTCTAAAAACGGAAAATTTGGAGAAAAATCCACAGTGAACGGAATAGTTTCACAGTCACTGGTCCGTGAATCTGAATAATTTAAAATGTCTTTCTGGAAATTGTTTCCACAATCTCATATGGCAAACTGCAGTGATCGCCAGAGCAAACGGCACACCGCGACTGGTACGCTGTATACAGCAAAAGAAAGAAAGATACCAAGCTTAATTAAGAGTTTCACAGTTGACCCTGGAACTAGTATTATAAATGATACTTTTTTAGCTCCGCTGTCGACTTTGTCGAGCGGAGCTTATCATATGAGTGATTGTCCGTCGGCGTCCGTCGTCGTCGTCGTCGTCGTCGTCGTCCATGTCAATGTTTTATTTTTTCGACTTCTTCTTGAAAACTACAAGCTTTGCTTTGATACTTGGTGTATATGTACCTTGGGTAGACCTCTCTCAGATTTGTTCATTTCATGATCATATCTTCAATTCTCTAATTTTGGTGAATATTTTTGGCATTTTTGGTAAAAAGTGATATTTTCCTCTTGTTAAAAACCGCAAGTGCAATTGCTTTGATATTACACATATAGGTACTACATGTAGACCTTTCTCAGATTTGTTCATTTTGTGATGATCTTCTCAATTCTCTAATTTTGGTGAATATTTTTGTCATTTTTGGTAAATAGTGATATTTTTGACTGCTTGTTAAAAACCGCAAGTCCAATTGCTTTGATATTACATATATAGATGCTACATGTGGACCTTTCTGAGATTTGTTCATTTCGTGATGATATCTTAAATTCCCTAATTTTAGTGAATATTTTTGTAATTTTTGGTAAAAAGTGATATTTTCGACTTCTTGTTAAAAACTGCAAGTCTGATTGCTTTGATATTACATATATAGGTACTACATGTGGATCTCTCTCAGATTTGTTCATTTCGTGATGATATCTCAAATTCCATAATTTTGGTGAATATTCTTGTCATTTTTGATAAAAAGTGATATTTTTGAATTCTTGTTGAAAACAGCAAGTCCGATTGCTATACATACTAGTACTATACATATTGTTCATTTTCTAATGATATCTTCAGTTCTTTAATTGAAATGTGCATTGATAACAGCAGAGCTATCTTAGCCGAGAAGCTGCTTGTTTAAAACTTGCATCAAACAAGAATTCAATTCAGATACTATTTAAGCTAAATAAACACATTATTACAGTACATGACTTGAGTTTCATGTCAATCTGAGCACTGGTTATTTCAAAGAATTTCATTCATATGAAAAATTAGCTAATTAACTGTTTAACAGTTTTTTTTAGCTCCACTGTCAACTTTGGCTGGTGAAGCTCATCATTCGAGTGATTTCCCGTCGTTGTCCATATTAATTTTTTATTCTTCGACTTTTTCTTGAAAACTACAATTCTTATTGCTTTGATACTTCGTGTATATGTACCTTGGGCAAACCTCTTTTACATTTGTTCATTTCATGATGATATCTTCAATTCTCTAATTGTAATGAATATTTTTGTCACTTTTGTAAAAAGTTATATTTTCGACTTCTTGTTAAGAAACGCAAGTGTGATTGCTTTGATACTATACATATAGGTTCCTCAGATAGACCTCTCTCAGATTTGTTCAGTTTCTACTGACATCTTCAGTTTTTTAATTGAAATCTTAATTGTTAAGAGCCGAGCTATCTCAGCCAAGTGGCTATTTGTTTCCAAACCTAATCAGATCTTGCAAATGTTCCAAAGTATATGACTGCCTAGTTTCATCGGATTCTTGACATTTTATGCACAGACCGACAGACAGACAGACACAAGCACCCAATGTGCCATGTTAGCTTTAATACACTGACACTGCAAATGATACATCGATAGTTGAGCGTGGAGTAACTCCAAATTATACTGATATACATAAAGTAAAGACTGAATATTTACCTACAACCACGTACTGACCACATTTAGACAGACATGCCGATGACTCAACCCTGTCACCTAACTCAGTTTCCCACAATGCTTTGCCAGTATCCAGCGATATCGCTACGAATTTATGAGAATGCGATCCAATGTAAACAACACCACCATTCCTGAAACATCAACATAGATAACGTTAATCCTTTGAACAATAATCATCAACTGTAGCAAAACCCTCAAATTTTCTGAAGAACTGTAGCCAACAAGAAATTATATGAATTTAGTCAAATTAACAATTATGGCAAAATACTTAAAAATGGAGAAAATATTTGGCCAGGGAAAATTACAGCATTAGAAAGGTTAAATTTAACAGTTTTGTTAATGATAGGAAAGCAAGTTTTTGAAACCATAATTTGTTTGTAAACAACATCCCATAATACTAACCTTTCAACAACCAATAGCGGTGAAGCATCTACACACTTTCCTGTATCACATGACCATTTCTCTTTCAGCTGTACACTTCTCTCTGCCGCCACTGGCGCTGGTTTTATTTCATCTGAATTATCAGAAGTGATATTGTCATGAAGTGATCCACCATGTGTAACTAACCGGGAACCTCTACTGATAGAGAAACAGGCTGATGAAGATGTGATATCTGCATCATCATTACCATATACCATCTCAGAATCTTTGCTTCTTAATTTAATTTTGTCACTTTCACGATCTTTATCACACCCTTCAACTTTTACTCTTTTCAGGCTCTTGGTATATTGCGAGTCATTTCGACGATTCATCGCAAACTTTTCATCGACTGGTCTTCTCCTCGTACTTTTTTTCTTCAGCTTATGAGATGGGCAAGAATTGCTGGAGTTGATCAAGGTGGTTTCAACCAACAAACATACATCATGAAAGGTTTTGTGCAGGATGACGTCCATGAGCTCTGGCATGGACAGTTTTACCCATGATTCAATGCTTTCAGTCAGGTGGATTGCATTGATGGAATTGCCGCCAGTCCTGATAAAATTTCCATATTCTTCAACAGGATACTTCACACCCATTGAATTCTATAATTTATAAATATATTGCAACATTTCGTGAACAGAGAAGAGAAATTCATTCATCTGCCCCTACACTCTGCCCTCAGAGTTTATTTTAGATTTACCTTTGTTTTTATTCAAAACAATGGTCATTTTCATTCAATTGTGATTGGAACCAGATTTTGTTAATTTTTGGCTTCCTAACTAAATTACAAAATAAACTGAAATTTTAACAAAATCTAGTTTAATTTATTAGTTTTTTTACTATTACATTTAGAAAGAAATACCTGCCACAGCTGCTGAAGGTGTTCTTTATTATAACACGGAATATCTTCGTCCATGCTTCGATTTTCAAACATTTCTACCAGTTTATCATTGTCCACCTTGCCATGTGCTGTAATCGGTAACCTCTGAACAACCATGACATCATCCGGTATTCCATGGGATGGAAGCACTCCCTCCAGCTGCGTGCGGAGCACATTTTCCTGTTGTTGTTTACTCTGGAACTTCAGTTCAGATACGACCACAGCGCATAGAATTAATTTACCCGAGTTATCTAGTATCGGAGCGCATGATTCAACAATGGGAACTGCCTCACACAACTGATGGCACATAAAAAAAGAAAAAAGTTTATTTAAACAAGAACGGAAAACTGACAACAAAAATTATATGCACACCACACGACTGGCACATTTATTTAGCCATTTGTGACACATCGCAGTCTGGCTTGTACATGCTCCCAAAAGGCTACCAGGGCTACCCGATGACCTGTGTATAATCCCTCATTGACGACTCACTGGTTTATTATTGTTATCTACTCCAGAACACACAATGCCTTCGAGTGATCGTAACGAGAACTGTTCATGCAAATAATACAAACCTTATGAATCTGGGACAAATTTATCCTCTTTCCAAATCTTTTGATTTGGTTGTCACGACGACCAATATACATCAACCCTCTCTCAGTTATTTTTACCCAGTCACCAGTTGGTTTCATGGTATCCATGGAAGCCGCTTCATCCTCTATCAAACAAAATCTTTCTCCACCTACGAGAGGAAATAAATTCCTGTGTCAATATTCCATGTTGGCTCTTATTGGATGATACAGTTGGTTATACATTGTGTGTATCAAGTGCCAGGTAGTTAACTACAAGCGGACATCCTGCTTAACACCCTAAGTGATGCATAATGTAGGCAATGTCAGGTTACCAAAAATACTGTGCCAATTACAAGTAAAAAACATAGTTGAACTCTGGTGACCTTGCCCTTTGTTACTGTAAAATGACTAATTTTCACTGGGTTTAAATTTCACTGATTTACCATTTCAGGCATATTCAGTGGGTTTTAAATTCATGGTTTCGTCATTTAGATAATATGTTCTATGCTAAATTTTACATATTCACTGTGTTTTAATTTAGCGCATTTTTCCAGTCAGCGAAATAAGCTAAATTAAAACCCAGTGAATAATTACCCCCTTTACAGTATATAATATAATTCCCTTTATCATAGTTTTGTTTCAATATAAAATATGCATTGCCATAATTAATTTTGAGTACAAACAAGTTTTGGGGTTGAACCAACAGTGGGGAATCAGTCTACCGAATGTCCTTAAAAGATGTAAATATCTTACAAAAACATTGGTGCCTTATTTGTTTAATTATTTTAAGGAACATAATTTCCAGCTTTATTCAAAGTAATTCAGATATTTTAGTATAAAAACAAATGCCTCATTGCAAAAAAAAAGTGCTGCATTTAGACGTGAATAGATTCATAAAACATGCAAGATAACAGAAAATCTTAGCTGGCTTTTGTCCAAGTATTTTGTACAGGTGTCTGTCAAAAATTAATGATTCACTGAGACAAATATGAACTG